AGAATCCAATCGCGAATTCTCGGCATTATGATGCGCACAGACTATGAACACCGTTTTGCGGCACATCACAATTGGCGCTTGCATATGCTGGAAGCGCTTGACCAGTGGAAAATGCAATTGCAACCTCATAGCGATCCCGCCTCTGAAGGTTATACGAGTGAAGGCTGGGTGGGTATGCTGTATAACTATACCATTCTTATATTATATCGACCGACCAAAGAGAATCTCTGTGGATTCGTTAGCGAGCGCTGTATCAAAGCATGCTCTAATATTCTGCACACATTTTGGGTGTACTTGAAGAGACGCCAGACGGCGCAGCTTTGGCCTGGAGTAAGTAAATACGGTCAACTCAGGGAGCATTCGGAATCTGACAGTTTGGGTCGCAGCTTTTGAGCCAATTTGGCACAGGCATAATCTTGCTATACTGCCTCTGGGCAACACCACCCTCAAAAAGATCAACGTCATTCCAATCTTCAGAAATTACTAAGTCTATTAGAACATGTACGGTTATTCTTGCGGTTCTATCTGAACGCTGGACACAAGCTGAAATACTGCGAGACGTCTTTGACCTTCTCGCAGACTCGGTTCCGGTGCAAGACACCCCTGACTGCGTGGAAGGGATTGGCCTATCGGCACAGGCGAGGCAAACAATCAAGTCCCGCTTGCCTATGCTGCACGTCATCATTGTGAACAAGGACATATTACGGATGTTGACGGAGATGGTAACTGAGGACTACCCGTGGACTGGTTACAGAGATGTACCGAATGTCTACCGATGGAGCTCTGAAGACAAGCATGATGCAAACGGGTGTACATTGTGCTGGGAGGGTAGGCCTATGGTAGGAGAGCTAGATAGCCTTCCTCAGGAGGACTTGGTCTCAATGGGCCTGTGGCCATCGCTATATGATGACGCAGGGGGATTGTACACTTCGCCTTCCGGAGGGTATCCGTCTTTCCCAGGGTTGTTGGGGTCTATGTAGCTTGTTTCTGGGAGGGCAAGATCTACATACTGAGAAGATAGACCAACCATGAGGAACTAAAGACCTGGGCTTGGGTAAATATTTGCTGAGATTCATAACCTCGTATGCCTGTCTACTTTTTTGTATTTGCAAAGCCATCTCTTTCATGCACTAATTAAATAATCTTTGCACGAGGTAGTATCAGTCGCAATTTAATAGTTCAACGCGAGTTATATTTCAACGTGATTAATAGTTCAACAGACTCATTGCAGCCTACATGGCAGAGAGTTGCCTATCAGTGTTGAGGGAGGCCTTTGAATCTGGCGTTACTTTTCTTTCAGGCTGTACATCGATCGAAAGTGAGGTCACTATTCAGTCAAAACACCAGGAACAAGTTCTCCTTGTCCATCGACTGATAACTTCTTCATCTACCAAGCACCAGCAGAATCCTCAACGCCTCCCCTGTTCACACCTCTTGCCTCTGTTTATTAATCCACCCCACATCCTCCCTCATCCTCAGAACATGGCCTTCATCGGCACCACCGCGGAAATCCGCGACGAACTCCTCAAGGACGACGAGCCCAAGCGCGTCATCATCCGCGTCAACACCAAGCGCCTGGAATCCTACAACTACCGCGGCTCCGCCTGCGCCCTCGTGGCCGAGATCTTTCCGGACTGGGAGACCAACGAGCGGATCCGCTTCCTGCACATCGAGATCCGCGTCGGCCGCGCCTTCCTGGCCATCGACCTCAACAACGGGCCCTACCTCCCCGTCGAGCTGGACCTGAACCCGATCCCCGTCTACATCCTCTCGATCTTCCGCCGCGGCTGGGCCCTGGTGCGCTGGCGCCAGCTCGACCAACACATCGCCGACCACCTGGCGCGCATCTGCATGCTCAACTACGATGACCCCGTGCGCCCGTATCTGGCGAACTATGATCTGCGTGAGCTGTGCAGGAGACGCTCCGTGTTCTCTTGAAATCTTGGTGTCTGGGCTCTGGTGGATATGAGAGCGTGCGGGCCGTGCACAGTAAGCTGGGATGCACGCGGCAGATGATGGATATGCTGTGCTTCTCGGCTTCTTTCACCGTGTGTCGCGATCGATGCAGTATCCACGCTTCTGGGATTTGAACTTTCCCCACTGAGTAAGTCTCTCTTTCTACTTTTGCAATCATTGTCTGTTTCTTCGGCTAATAGATGTGTGCAGAAATGCTAAGGATTAGCGCTTTGGTTTCACATTCAACATTTCGCCTTCTTGGCTTGACTCTGGTTATGGGACTATCTTGCTGGGGATGTTAGGCGCATCTTTTGATCCAACATAAAGATTATTTAGCGGATTGACAGGCGACCTGGGGTTTAAAATCTGATAAACAGGCTTATACTTGGTACTTCCTGATGAATTTGCGTCTTGGTTCTTTGATTTTTATTGCAGTGTTAGGCTTCCCTACAGCCTACAGTAACTGTAAACCTTGTACTAGCAGTGCTCTACCGACCGTGCTTTGCTACTGTTGAACACACTATTGCTTAAAGATTTACTGCTTAATATTGTGTTCTGGTCTGTGCTGCTGTAATGCTCTATCCCGGGGTGTGCATTGAAGTTCTTGGCCTCATGGGATGAAAATATGTAGACGGAGTAAACTTATTGTAGGCAAGGTATCATACAGTAGAGTGAGGGTACTCATGAATTGTCTATTCTTGTTGGTAGCCTTTGATTTATGTTCAGACTTACTATAGGCGATGACTGACACTGTTAAAAGTGCTGTCACTGGCAATTAGTAGAATTTGGTAGAGATAAAATGCGGTAGTGAGATGTCTGTATTGCGCGGTCTTGAAGGTACTCTGTCATTCCTGCAAAATCTGTACCTGCTACTAGTCGATTGCTACTCATGATTAGACACCGTCCGTCCAAGAGAGCCTGACTTGATCCTTCTATGGACCCTCCCTGATCTGTAGCGAGTCAAGGTTCTCAGATTCTTCTAATGACTCAAATCTCTGATGTTGGTGACTTTGCTGCTATAGACCCACTTGTCTCCTAGGCAGGTCTCCTGGGCGCGCCTTATCGATAACGAAGATGAGGTCCCGAGTCCACAGACAATCCTAACCCAATCCGGCAGTGTAGGCGATTCAACCAATCACGTCGTCCAACAGCATCCAAACCATCCGAAGCATGGTTGCTCCACGGAGCCACGGCAAGGACCTCGACTCGCAAAAACTTATATAAAGCAACATCCTCACGCATCTCCGTATTCTCAAATTGAATTTGTTTCCTTGCAGAGCTCATTCTCAACGGATCCGATCGAACAATACCCCCAAACCCAGCTACCATGGTGAAACTCGCAGAATTCAGCGTCGAACGGGTATGACTCCCCTTCCACCCGCAGACCATCGGATGCCATACTAACGACAGCAATACATGACCAACAGTGGATGGACCTCTACGAGAACGACGCCCAGCACAACCTCGCAGAGACATGCTGCGCCTCTATCTCGTTGAACGACATCCTCCAATTTTCCGGCGCCTCATCGGCAGACGTCCCACCACTCATCGATTTCTCCCGCAAGCAGACGTACGGCGCCATCCGTGGATCCGCCGGGCTGCGAGCGAATATTGCGAAGCTCTATCAGGGTTCTGGCGTCGCCTTGCAAGGACACGGCCAGCAGCAGCAGGGCGCAGCTCCCGCAGGCATCACCGCGGAGCAGGTGCTTGTAACCACCGGCGCCATCCATGCCAATTTTCTGGCCCTGTATACGCAGGTCGGACCGGGTGACCATGTTATCTGCCACTACCCGACGTACCAGCAATTGTACTCGGTTCCCGAGTCGCTCGGTGCGGAGGTGAGCCTGTGGCGCTCTTCGGCCGAGAAGGGGTGGGCTCTGGATTTGCAGGAGCTGCGGGGGTTGATTCGCGCGAACACGAAGGTGATTATCCTCAAGTGAGTTCTCCCATCCCTCTCGAACCGGAAGACAAGGAGGGTGTGTTGTTAATGATGTATTGAAGTAACCCCCAAAACCCCACGGGCGCGGTCGTTCACCGCGACTTCCTGCGCAGTGTCGTCGAGATCGCCCGGGAACATAACCTTATCGTTCATTGTGATGAGGTCTATCGCCCGATGTTCCACTCCCTGCCGCAGGGAGAGACTTCTCCGCCCTCGATCCTGGAGTTCGACTATGAGAATCTTGTCTCCACGGGGTCGATGAGTAAGGCTTTTAGTCTGGCGGGTTTGCGGATTGGGTGGATTGCGTCCCGGAATCAGAGCATCATTGAGGCATGCGCCTCGAGTCGTGATTATACCCTTATCTCGGTGAGCCAGGTTGATGACGAGATCGCGACGCGCGCGTTGGGTTCTCCGTGTGTAGAAAATCTATTGTCCAGGAACCTGGATCTTGCGAGAACGAACTTGGATGTTCTTGCGACGTTTCTGAAAGAGTTCAGCTGGGCGGTGCAATGGGTGAGACCGCAGGCGGGCACGACAGCGTTTGTCAAGTTTGTGAATCGGCAGGGAAGCCCTGTTGACGAGGTGGTGCTTTGTGAGCGACTGATGGAGACAACCGGCGTTATGCTGGTGCCCGGGGGTAGATGCTTTGGTGAGAGTGTTGATTTCAAGGGCTATGTGCGTGTCGGCTATGTACCGGAACGGGAGGTGTTGGAGCGTGGATTGGCGGCTTGGAGGGTGTTTATGCGGGAGGAGTATGAGAAATTGCCCATTGTGTGAGGCTCTGGCCTGGGTAACCAGAAGTGATGTAGCAAGATCGTGTCCCCGATAGGAGCGAGATAGATCATTGTAAATAGTGAGGAATGGATTGAGATTTTACTAGGTGTGACTTTTATACGGGTCTTTTGGATGGGATGAACCTGATTGGTGTAAATGCCGAGGCCGTACACTTACCGCATATAATAGCAAGTATTATTTGCATTGCGGGTACGTGAGTGGGTAAAGGCCTTGCTGTGCAGTATAATACCTTCTGGTCATGAGGCACGAGGAAAGCAATATTCCGTACCCAAAACATCAACATACCTCTTGTTCCGGACAGGCAGTCCACCTAAAACAGGACCAACTCCAGCCCAAGCTGTGCGAAAAACGCATCCCATTGCAAGGGCGTCCCTGATGCCCAGAACAGGTTCAATAGCTCCCGAGCCCTTGTAAAATTCCCCATTCCAAGACTCTGCATGTTGGCCATCCTTCCTTGAATGATGGAGCGTTCGCTAGACGAACCCGTCTCACAACCAGCGCTGAAGACAGGCCAGAGAATGAGGATATTCGCCGCTGAGAATGGGCGGATGTCTTGGATGGCACGAATGATACCCGCAATATCGGCTCTGACTTTCGGGTGGCTGATCGGCAACTTTTGAACACGGCGGTGTAGATGCAGTAGAGCGGTATGAACAAAGGCGCGATGTGTGTGTTGTAGTTCCAAAGCAAGTTCTCCTTTGCTTTTCATGGTTACGTCGGAGACAGTACTGTCAAGCAATAGGAAGAGTTCGTTCTCGAGGAGCTGGCTTTGCTGCAAGACCAATTCATCTTGTGGCATATCGTCTGAGGTACTCGCAGTCATGCGTTGTTGCTGGATGAGATGGGATACTTGAGTCAAACAAGGGACTAATTCCAGTGAATAACCGCAGACATCATCGATATACCCGGAGCTCTGACCAAGAATATCATTCAAAGGCTCCTGTGCGGCCTCGGAGGCGAATGCTGTGTGGCTCTGTCCCGACAGGCTCGCTATTAAATTCAGCGTCGTGAACCATTTGACTAGCGAATGGATATACGAGTCCTGTACCCAGCGAGATCTCTCCTGGGCTAAGAAAGCATTTAATAGCTGCCTGACTCCGCTGAGATGCGTCCTCCAGACGTGCATGTTACCATTACAGACGTCATTTGTGCATAATGCCATTGCTGTGGCGACTGTCTCGGTAGATAATCTCTGGCTTGACTCGCCAATCGTCGACCGCAGGCTGGAGATGGCAAGGTTTGTGAATTTCAAACACGCTATCTTGGACGACGGACTCGCATCCTGCACCAGCCGGCTGTGATGGCTGCAGGCTGCGGCTAGTAGCGCATATAAAAGATGAGGTGTCTGCAGCGAGGCACTGATCATTCGCTGTAGAAACAGATCGGGCGCTGCAGGGAATAGCCTGGGTGCTGTTTCCGTGGCGAATATGTGCATGAAAAATCTGGATTGTTCGGACGACAGGGCTGGCGAGAAATGAAGTGATGGTTGATTGGCCAATGCCTCTAGGCTCTTGATGATGCTCAATTGATCCTGTCGATCAACTGCAACTCCTATGCGAGAGGCACTGAGCTGCTGTCTCGCCGGGCGAGGTTCCACTCCCTGGCCAACGACACTTAGATTGTATATGCAGCCCTTAGGATAGCGCTGGCATCGTGTGCATACAGGCTTCTGCAAGTCGCACTGTAGGCAATAGTTAGTCAGGGCTTTCCAGGCTTTAATTGATAAGGATGAGGCTACTTTGACTTTCTTCCTCCTGCACTCAGTGCAACCGTCTCGTCGCCGCTGAGAGACTTGCATGCTGTCATCGTGCGATAAGAGGCATGTGTCGTAAACTATACAGCCACAAGGCTATATTGTAAGTCACGAGACAGTTGATTCCTTGGGTAACGAGCTAGCAAGGAGCCTGGATCGATATACTTCATCTTCCATTTCCATTTCCCGAGGACGAAAGAAAGAGAAACAATGGATGACAAAGCACGCTAGATGGAAAGAAAGATCCAGACACTAAACCAGTTAGGGACAATTATCCGATCCAGCCAACCGCCGTCCCAACCGTCCTTTAGTAGGTCAGTCATGGCTCCAGCTTGAACTTGGAATCCCAGTCCATGCCAATCTGCTTGAAATTATCGTGTGTCAAGAATATAAGGTGAATTATTCAGTCTCTAGAGAAAATGGCCGTACCCGGCTGTGATGCTATCTAAAGACTATCATGACTTCGAGCCATTCTCCAATACGCCGTTGCTCCCAGGTCCAAGCAGACGATCAAGTAGATATACAAACCCTTTAACAAATACCAAGCCCAGATATCATCGATCACCATGCACCAGCATCAAAATCAAATCGAGCCAGCTCTTTTTGGGAGTCTTCAACATCCTTCTTCGCCTTCATTCGCATATAGAAAATAGGACAGTCGCGAGACGAGCAAATAACCTCACAGTGCAAACTGCCTTGGCACCGCTGACATTGCGTCCACAGACGCCCAAAGCGGACCTCCAGGTCCGAGACCTTGTTCAAAGATCTGGTGTAGAGTTCACCTAGACGAGGACGACAGTACTCACACACTGCACCGGCCATTTCTTCTTTCCCTGACAGGGGTTTCTTGCAGCCCAAGCAGGTTTGGGTCTTCTTCGCAAACTTCATCAAGCCTCCCATAGTCGGTGCCGCGACAGAGATGGATCGGGTGTGTTCACCAGTCAGAAGCTGATTGGCCTTCTTCTCTCCAAGAATGGGCTCGAAAATACGGCCGAGAGGATTAGCGAGCTGGTTGTCAAGGTAGTACTTGGTGTCGATGGGGATGTTGTTCTCCAAGACATAGATGGGGTCCTCAGATCGTTCGTAGTTCTTCGAGCCACCAGCACCCTTCACAATGACATATGCGACACGATCTCCAAGAGTAGGTGCTGAACCTGCATCACGCTTCCTCATGCGCTCGGCAAGCTCCACGTGTGCTTGCTTTGCTGTATATGCATCCTTTGAAAGGGCTTTCGTAATGACCAGTTTAGACATATCGATTTTGTTTTGCAGAAGATCCGAAATAGTGTCCTTGACATAGCTGCGGGGAATATTAGCAAGATGATTGTAACCGTAGGAACGAATCTTACTCTTGAGCGCCATCGATGTCTCTGTCAATCAGGATTTTGTGCAACACTGTCTCGATGACATTTTGCACCAACAAGCAATTGTCACGGCGGACAGTCTCAATGCCCTTGGTGTCCATCTTGTCGTATTTCTTGGGATTCGTCCAATACAGACCAGCATACCGCTTCTTGTTGATCAGGAGATAAGGGAAATAGACCTTTTCGAATTCAAGCTTGATGGGTTTCAAGAACTTCGAAGAGACAAACTCAGATGCCTCTTGTCCAAGCTTCATTGCTTCCTCCAGAGAATCAACGCCGAATTTGACCATAACAGAGTCAGTGTCTCCGTAAATGACCTTGGCATCATGAGAATAACCATTTGCAATGGTGTATCTGGCTTCAACTTCCTGCTTCGTTTTCTCGATCATTTGACGTCCGTAACTAGTTGTGCTACTAGCGATAGCCAAGCATGGTAGCTTTCCGACAGTTGCACCCGTAAGACCGTAAACACTGTTGGCACTGATCTTCAGAGCAAGCTGTCTTCCATTCAGGACTGCCTTCTTAAATGGATCAGTCTCCACGGCAAGTTCCTTCTTTGCCCGCTTTCTAGCTGTCAACAACTCCTCAAGAATTTGCGATAGAAGACCTTTGCGAACGTTGGCTGTAGCGAACATATCTCCATTTGGTGTCACAATATAGTCTTCATCTTTTTTGAGCTTGAGTCGCTCTACACTATTCTTGTTCAGTAATGTGGTGTAGCAGAGATTGTGCGCTTGAATAATAGAAGGATATAGCGATGCGAAATCGAGAGTAGCGATTGGTACGCCATAGTAGCCTCTAACAGGCTCAATGACAGTCGCACCCTCATAGTCCTGCTCATCTGTGGATTTCATGTTGGGAATGACAAGCTGTTGCTCCAGCGCCTTTCGGAAGAGCTGACTGATGAACTTGACCTGTTGACCTCGTGACAACAAGAAGTTGAAAGGAACACCCGTGACTCTTGCCATCTCAGTATAGTTGACCAAGCACATGAGCTTGTCCATCAGTCTTTGTGGCAAATAGGCATCTTTCAAACAGTAAACCGCTAAACGTCGCCTGGAATCCGGGGTGCCGTTATATAGCTCGGTGATCATTGTGTGATGCACATCTTCCTTCTGTTCTCCTAGAAACTCGTAGGAAACGGAGTTCAGTGTATAACTTCGCAGGTGATGATCTCTCTGTACCAGCTGGAGAAGATCTAATTGGATTCTGCCGTTGGTGTTTGTCGACTTCGTGTCACGATTACCCATTTGTTTGCTGGAAAAGTTTGTTTCCTTGGCTTGAGACGCCACGCCATTGAGTCGAGTCCAATAAGGAAAGCCAGTACACTTCAGATGTTTGGCACGATCCAGAAGATATGGAAAGTCGAAGTTGGCTATGTTATATCCAATGATGACGTCTGGATCTACTTTCTCCACAAAGTCGCGCCAGGCCATGAGCATCTTGGACTCATCCTGGAACTCCAAAACCTGAGTGTTGACGATAAGACTGCATGTATCCAAGACGAAAACATTGCGAATGAAAGGCTTCGACTCTCCGTAGCGGGTAACAACATTCGCAATTTGGATGACCGGGTCCTGATTCGGTTCCGGGAAGATTCCCTTACGACCGGCGCATTCAATATCGAAAGACAGGATGCGAAGGGGTGCCATCTTAGCCCACTCGCCGGTCGGATGATGCGAGATCAGATCGCGATAATCTATACTCGCTTCAATCTGGCAGTTCGATATCTTCTCACGAGGACCGAACAGCCGGTACTTTCCCGCCTTTGCCTCGACCCATGACATGCCCGAGATGTCCACGTCAATCATAAAGCGGAGGAGGTATTGGATGTTGTCGAATGTGAGGATACCGCCTTCTGAGTTATTCCAGAGTCCCTTATAGTTGAGACTCTGCGCACCTCCGCTCTCCAAAGCTCCCCGCAATCTGCTGATGTGCTTGGGCTCTGTGACAGTGATCTTGAGGTAGTAGCTCTTCTGATTGCCTTGGAAGCCATAAATGTTTTCTCTCATCGTTATTTGTACCGACTGAATTGTGGGTTGAAACTGTCCGATCCGACTTTCGAGGAACGCTCGGTAGGGCTCGCAATCATCTTTCGTGAAGTTGACAGGCGCCGCAATATATAGATAGTGTTGGAAACCAGTGACATGAAGCAAGACGGATTGACCGGCCTATTGAAGAAAATAAGCAAGTACCAGAGAGAAGGACAACTGCGCAACCATACCTCGGTGACTCCAAAAAGACGAACCGCGGTCTTCCCTCCGTGGATTGCACCCTCTTCCGCATCGATCTGTTGGAAACAGATATTATCCTTCGAAGCATCGAACACACCGAGCGGCGGTCGCTCCCACTGCTGATCCTTTTCTGAATTGTTTTGCTTCAACCCATTCATGTCCTGGGTCAATTTCTCGAGAACTTCCTCCTCGAACTGGCTCTTCTGTGGTTGACTCGAGCCGGGAACCTTTCGCTGGGCCTGAGTACCCTGACTGCTTCTGAAAGAAGGTCCATTTTCAAGCTTGCGTTTCTTCAGCGCCGTTGGTGACTTAAGACCGCTGCTGCGAGGATTGTTCGTTGCCTCGCCCAGAACCCGCTTCTGGGGCGTGGTGACGGCTTCAGGCATTGTGACTGCTCATATATCACGAGAGAGAAATGCAGATGTGCTTGACCGAAGCGTAAAGTGAAATTGAAATGCTTGTTGGTCGGGAGGTTTGGGGCGGCAATGCTGGTGTCGCGGGAAGCCAACTGCGCTCCAATTAATGAAAGTTCGTGTCCCGTTCGCGCCGTGACGTGACACCCGCTACGCGTTGAGTGGGTATGTCACGTGATGATATGGCTTGGGGAATGAAGATCGACTCCGCATTATCTCCGGCTTTGTTGCCCCCATCGCTCGCCGTACATGTCGAACCGTGGGGTGTCATAATCTGCCTTCCTGTGCTGCTACAGAACCAAAGCACTCAGAATTTACTCTGCAGCGATCAAATTGCTTGTAGCTTTGATAGATAGCAAGTTTGTCTGAAGAAACGGATTCATTTTAATTATAAGGAATGAAACAGCGCCTTTTGTGCTTCTACACTACAATCCGTCTTTGGCCACCTTCTTGTAGAGGCCGCAGTTCTTTGCTAACAAGGCTTTGGTTATAGGGCAGCTTCATAACGATTCCAACACTATCAGTATGACTCAATTGGCGCTTTGCTTTCTCAGTACACCACTGCTGGATGCCTATCCAACAATATGTCCTTCCCCCACCGCCACTGTTACCCTTGCGGCTGATATACGCTCATCTCGAGTCCATTGTTGAACGGGAGTGTGAGATTCCTAAAACCACTTCCAGGCGCACGCATGTAGCCAAGGAGTTCTTTGCAATGTTCTGCAGCACTAATTGTGTTGTCGGTAATGATGACAGCACCCGGTCGCAGTGCCGGCTGGACCAATTTCAAGACTGGAAGCAGCATCGGGCCCCAGACTGTCACTGTCAGCACAAGCCTAGACTGTTGCAGGATTTCGAATCACTCACTATCCAGCAATAGCATGTCTACCGTTCCCAAGTCGTGCTTCAAAGTCTCCCTGATATCACCCTCTCGCAGCTCGATGATTTCGCTGACAGAGCTACCGCATGCATTCCAATGCTCTCGAGCCTTCTTAGCTTTCTCGGGCTCATGCTCCGTTGCGATGACTCTTCCTGCGCCACCCGTAACTCCGGCGTTGGATGCAATAGCCAGTGCGAGATAGATGGTGCTCACACCGTAGGATGTGCCAGCCTCGACAATAGTTTTAGCGCCGGTTGCAAGGCCCATTTGGTAGAGAAAATAGGCTTTGTCTTGTTCGATGGCAACAAGCTTGTCCCGCATTTTTTCAGCGACACTTTGGGGTTTGAAGTCATCCCAAGTCATGTGGGCTTCTTCTGCTGCTGATCGATTGTGCAGCGTGGAAAGCAGCGACAAGATGTGTGGGGAGACATGCTTGAGTGGGTGATTGCTCGCTTGGGAGGCCATGATTGGCATGGAAAATGACAAGGCTTATAGTTGTGATCAAAACATCGGGGTTGCCTGCCGCCGTATTTATACCTCTTTCTCATACTTGTAGCTTTCCTTGCAAGATTCGATAGCCCATGGCTGCTCTCTATCCTTCTGGCAAACTACCCCTGCAACAACAAAGTTGTGAGTCATATGGCTGGGTTCCCAGTGATCGAGTCCGTGCGATATGCGACCTGCTTCGATGGAAAAGGCATATCCGATGTGAGTACCTAGTATGCTGTGGGGAAAACAGCGAGGCGGCGTCCTGTCAGCCTTCATCCGCTCAATCGACTAACCGTCCCAAAGCCAATTTGGCTCCTCCAAGATGCATCGTCTCCCTACCTATTCAGGCTAGAACTGGCGCAGCGAGATGAAGCGGAGCAGTCGATGACAGCATCAATTTGACTATTGGACGCCCTTTGATAGCCATCGCGCGGTTTGTGGGCGGATTCAGCGGAGCCTGGAGTGGTCTAATTTAGCCTTCTCGGCTTGATACCATGAGGGCATCATTTAGCTCCCCACGCGCTAAACAGGTTTGTGTGCATCTCTAACTCTACGAAAAAACATGTCTTGATTTTTTCTGTGTTTTCCTAGGTACAACGACCTACATACCAGGCTCCGCAGAATTCCGGTGTTCGAAATGCAAGCAGAGCAAGCTGCGCTTCACAACGGATTATTGTACATCGTTCTACCCATGGCCTGACAAATCCATCTCAACCAGTCTGGCAAGACCTCTCTTTAACTTCAGGGAATGAATTCCGCCCACGTGCTGGTTTAGTCATTGTGGGGAGATCAACGAGTGAGAATAGAGAGATAAGCATGGCAACTGCATCGATATGCAGCTCAAAATACTAGGTAGCTCGTGTGTTCCCCTCACATCCATTCCCCTCTTTTCGAGACTCGCCAAAAGACCATCAGTACACCCAGATCGAATCGAACGACATCCAGACACTCGACGATTATACAGTCATTCTCCTCACATCCCCCATTATGGCCACCATGGATAAGATTTTCGCCGGCTACTCCGCCCGCAAAGCCGCTCTCGAAACCGTAACCAGCAACCCTTTCACTCAAGGCATCGCCTGGATTGAACGCAGCCTCATTACGCTCCATGAAGCTCGCATTCCCTTGCTCGACGAAGGCTTCCTCCACGGCGATTTGACCTACGACGTCCCCGCCGTCTGGGACGGGCGCTTCTTCCGCCTGGACGACCATCTCTCGCGGCTAGAGCTCAGCTGCGCGAAACTACGCATGAGACTGCCTATTCCACGGGACGAAATCAAGAGCATTCTTGTTGATATGGTAATCCGCAGCGGCCTTCGCGACGCATACGTCGAGCTGATCGTCACGCGCGGCCTGCAAGGCATTCGGGGTAGCAAAGACCCCCTCAGCCTCACAAATAATCTGTATCTATTCATCAAGCCGTATGTCTGGGTGATGGAGCCCGAGGTGCAGCGGACGGGTGGACATGCCATTGTCGCACGCACAGTACGACGTGTTCCACCCGGAGCAATTGATCCGACAGTCAAGAATCTGCAATGGGGGGATTTGATTCGAGGGGCGCTGGAGGCGGCGGATAGAGAGGCGACATATCCATTCTTGACGGATGGGGACGCACATCTTACCGAGGGATCAGGGTATAATATCGTTCTGGTTAAGGATGGGGCGATTTATACTCCTGATCGAGGGGTGTTGCATGGGGTCACGCGTAAGAGTATTATAGAGATTGCGCAGCGGGAGGGAGTTTCGGTTCGCTTGGAACCGACACCAGTTGAGCTGGCTTATCAGGCTGATGAGATTTTCATGTGCACGACTGCTGGAGGTATCATGCCCATCACAACCCTGGACGGTCGGAGGGTGGGCGACGGGAAGGTTGGCCCGCTGACAAGAATGATATGGGATAAGTATTGGGACATGCATTATGACCCAGCTTATAGCTTCGCTATCAAGTACAAGGGTTCTTCGGACAGCCGTGCGAAGCTTTGAACACTTACGAAAGTTGAGGATTGGGAGAGAGTATCATTTCTGGTGATATGCGCTGAGATCATTATCATACATCGAAAATTTGAATGCGTGGTTCAGTCCGAGCTTGCAACGGTCTTATAGATATGGTTGTACCCATCCAAAGACTCCTGTGTCAACTCCTTTATCTCCCGTCCCTGGAATCTGTTGGGATCCAAAGCTTCCTTCAAGGTATCATCAACAGCCTCCCCCTTCATCAGTTGGGTCAAGAATTTGGCCGACCCAGCTGCATGGGTCACCCAAACAGCTGCAGCCATGTACAGCCCAGTCACCTCAGCAACAGCTCCCACCAGTGGCATATTGTCCGGTGTCATCGAGAAGATACCGTTGAACTTCTCTCTGATCTCCAAATTTGTCGACTCTGGGATGAACTTCATAGCGGTATCCAATGTTGCGCCGAAATCCTCAATCCAGTCTCCGATGGCCGTCTCGGTCGGTTGCTGCGCATGTGGCGGGTGGTCATAGGAGCCTAGCCCATAGAAGGTACCGTGATCACGGGCATAGACGTGGTGTTCAGGCCATCTGACCCAAGGGGCTTTATGTTCGCTCAACTCATGGTACTTGCCGTACATATACGGATGTGCGACAGGGACAATAGGAATGGGCGTCTGGAAGCTGCAGAGCTCGGGGGCCCAGATGCCAGTGGCGATGATGACCGTCTTGGCCTGGACGAATCCAGCCGTAGTCATCACACCCTCCACCTGGCCATTGGCTTGTTGAATCTTCGTGGCATCCGCCTGGAGAAGCTGCACACCCCTCGCCCGTGCCTCATCTTGGAAGAAGGTGGTGATTCTGATGGCGTTAGCAGCACCATCACCGGCGAAGTGCAACGCGGCGGTGTACTCGCCCTTGATCAAGGCAGGGGCCATATTGGTTGCCTGTGCGGACGAGATGAGCTCAGCTTGGAGACCAGCTCTTTTGGCCGAGTCATGTCGCTGCTTCAGACGCTCCGCTCCTGCAAGGCTGGTCGCCAGCTCGAGGCCCCCAACCACGTCAAATCCACCAGGGATCTTTCTGTACTCCTGGACCGTATCCTGGGCCAGACGGGTCAAGACCTCCGATTCATTGTACTGGCCAACAAATCCAGGTGCATGGCCGGTGGAACCCTTCAAGGGTGCAAAAGAACGATCAATCAACACGATCTTCTTGCCCATGTCTCCTGGGGAAGATAGAAAGTACCCCAGGGCCGAACCCACGATACCAGCGCCGATAACGGCGATGTCTGCGGTGTGTAAGGCTTGCATCTTGGTCAATGTTTGAGTTGTGCTGTGTGTTCAGAGCTCATCACTATGGGCCGTGGCTTGTAGCCTATATATGATCCAGCAGAGCCAAGCCAGCCAAGCTCGCCGCGCGTGTGTCTCGGCGCATCGGTCCTAGATCAGTCGGTCTCGTATAGTTGTCTGCCCCCCACTCTGCTATAGTGACCAGTGCTAGCAGGCTTCTTGCCCAATCCACCCCCACATTTATCCGTCTTCAGAGCCGCTTTGTACCGGTGAGTGGTGGGACGATACCATTTTCGGTCAATACTCGGAATTCCAAGGCACTAGCCTATACTTCAACTACATTTGCAGGGCGTGGTGTAAAAGCTGGAAGGGTGGTTGTTGCGGCCGAGGTCGGCCAGGGATGATGAGTGGCGGTGGAGAGCCGTGATTGCCTGAGGCAGAGAACGCGGGATGCCGGAGCCCCTCCAAGTGACTCAATGCAATTGACAATTCTCAATTTCTCACCCTCTCTCTCGCTCCCTCGCCCGCGTACCCCACCCCGCTTCGCGCCAACCCAACCTGGATGGCTCCTGCATACAATTGCAATTCCGCGTCCATCGTCATACAACCTTTGTGACCATCGTGTTCATATCGTTCTGTGTCACTATAGCAGTTCACCTCCTCGTGTATCGTGTATTGTACACTTGGGGGTTAATTGCAACCTCCTCGGTTGGCGCGTTTTCAATGGCATCTTCCTTTGGAATCTGATGGAACATTTCACAAAAGAGCAGAGCGGAGCTATTCCCTTAATTGATTATAGGTGGTATTTTCCAATTGTGTTCAAAGCAACATCCCGGGATTTTTCGCAGCTGCGCTCAGCTTTAAAGAAATCTGTATACTTCATTTGCTGTCTCTCAGAGCCTATATAAGTCTAGTATTGTTACTGAGTGAGGAGCCTTCTTCTCTGCATCTCACGGCATTCTTGCTAACCGGACATAGGAAAGTCACGGCAGTCGGTTTTTTATACTTGTTAAAACTATCGTTCAGCCAATTGGCCACTGGTTGGTCCAACTATACCCATTTCACCTTGATTTAGCGTGGCATTGGAGCGGCTATTTTCGTCTTTTGTTGAATTTCTGTCATCATGTCGATGTTTAGAAAGCCTTCGGAGATCTCATCGTCGTCCAGTTCAGACGAGGAGGTCCAGGATCTTGATATCTCGGGGCCCCGTCCTGAGGTCCGCTCAAAGCAGCGACATCAGCCGAAGAAGAAGGGCATTTTGTCGCCTACGTCAGCAGGCGACAGCACTGATGTTGACGGTCATGGAAAGATGATGACCGCTGCCCTTCTCGAGTTCTATTGCCTCAGTCGAGCCGCGGATCTACTCAACGCGCAGCCAGGCTCCCACGGGCAGTACACTCGGGATTCTCCCGAGGCTAGAGCTCTCGGGCATGATATGTACACTCGTCAATCGGAAGTCCTCTCTCAGCATGGAATTGTGAATGAAGGTGCAGAGAAGGAAGCCTTAAGGCCCACGAGACAGCTCTATCGAGATACGTTGGATTTGATCGCTAGCCGTTCCTTTAAACGCCTCGACTTGCATGATCTTCAGTCTAGATCGGCCTCTGTTGGGGGTGCTTTGCCGAAGACTTCCAGTGAATTGACACTCCACAAAGGTCGTGCGGGCTATACGCAACTCGGACGAAATGCCAAGTCTTTCAATTCACTGCAGGAGCTCGACATCGACCACCTTTTTAACCCACGTCTGGCTCCTTTTCTGGGTACGGAATCCCACTCGGCCCTTTTCGACGGTATTACTAACTCGTGCGATGAAGAAATGTCGCGCTACGCGTTACAGTTCGAGGAGATCAGTGTTCTAGGTCGGGGCGCATTTGGGGAGGTCTACCACGTGAGAAACCATGTCGATGAACACGAGTACGCAATCAAGAAGATAGCTCTCAGTCGGCGACGATTGGCGCAACTAGAGGGCGGCAACAAGCACCACTTGGGGGAAATTCTGAAAGAGATCCGCACACTTGCCAAACTCGACCATGCCAATATCGTACGGTATTATGGTGCTTGGGCAGAAAAGGTAAATCCCCTCGGCTACCTTGATTTTGACAAACTCGATCTTTCCTTGTTCAATGCGTCGACTGTTACTGACTCGGCTTCCACACAACAGAACTTGTCACACCATTCTATGGCGTCGCAGATGTCGGTGGCGGAAAGCCAGAACAAACAACTGGCGATCGTCTTTGAGGAGTCTGAAACTTCGGCTTCCGACCACGCACTGCGTACTTCCACATCGAAGTTCACCTCTGTAGAAAGCATGGATGACGAAGACGACAGCTCGGCTGGCCCCTCGATCTCCCATAATCCTACTCAGGACCAGCCTTCTTCGCTTCGCAACGCGGAAGAAGATATCTTCACAGACGGCCTCAGTCACAACCCTTCGAGCATGCAGATTCAACGCAGCCGTAGAAGAGGTCTTGAAATCCCTGCAGTGATCTTGCATATCCAAATGTCGATGCATCCGATATCTCTCCACGCATATCTCAACCCTCGACCCAGCACACATGCAGATGACTCGGGGAAGCCACGGCGTCGCCACTGCTTCCACTTGGTTCCCTCCTTGCAATTGATGGTGGACATTCTTTCCGGAGTGCTTTACCTGCATTCCAAGGACATCATCCACCGCGATCTCAAACCGGCCAACATCTTCCTCTCTTGTCCGGAGAAACATCACACCCACACCTGTTGTCATCCCTGTCAATCCGACGGCGGGGCGGGACTTCATTACTGCCAGCCTCGGATCGGCGACTTCGGCCTCGTGGCTGACATCTCGCACCTAAACGATCCTCCATCCGACAGCTCGCCTCAGTCCACAGAGCACGGCTCACCTATTCACCACATTGTTGGTACAGAATTCTATCGTCCACCTCTCGACTCGAGCGGGTTGATCTCAAGCGGGAATGTTCACCGCTATGCCCAGGAGGTAGGGATGGAGCGGCCGATGCATTATGTCTGCGACTGGTCGCTTGACGTTTATTCATTGGGCATCATTCTCTTTGAGCTGCTCTATCCTTTGAACACGAAGATGGAGCGCCATCTTGTGCTGGATGATTTGACCAAAGGCCCGTACAAGAAGCCGCCAACCGCATCCATCAACGGAGCATGCCTGCCCAGAGACTTTATGGACAAGGTGCACATGGGCGATGTGAAGTTGAAGAATGGAAATACGGTGGCCGAAGCCTTGGTCAGCTGCATTGGAGGTATGCTGGATCCCAACCCTCGCCAACGCTGGCGGTGTGAGGTCGTCCAGAAGTGCCTGCGAGAAATCCTTGCTAATGTGCACCCGGACTCGTATTGATGTGATATTCTACATATACTACAATCAATTCGACGGCATACGCACAGGGCTGTCATTAGGTTTAGAGTAAGTAACCCTCTGCATTTAGCGCATAGCGTTGAAGATTTTTCTTAAATAGCATCAACTTTTATACTATAATCTCTATATCATAGCCACAGACCAACGTCTTCAAATATATACACCCAATGGCAGGGAAATCCCAGATGTCTACGTTCTGCTCCAGTCAAGCATCTAACCATAGTTACAAGCACATGTAAAACAAATATGCTCACCAACAAAAACCAGTATTATATAATTCAGAAATCAGCTATTCCCCAGCATTATCGCTTCTCAAGCTCCTGCCGAAGCGCATCAACCCACGCCAACTTCCCTTCCGCGAAGATCTCCCCGGCAGGGGGCATACGCGCGCCCTGGTCGAGCAAGATGGTTCGGATGATGATTCGGTCTCCCATGACGGCCTGATGATGGTAGATGTGGGACGTGCAGTTGGGGCAGAAGTAACAGTGGACGGGGTTTTCGGAGGCTCCGGTGTAGGTATACGTGCTGGGCTTTCCGGAGAGGATTCGCAGTTGATCCTGTCACCACCATCATCACCATCGTCCTGGAGATTAGCTTTGTTTCCGCTTGCGCCATGGTGTGTAGTAGGATGCTTTTGCGAGCGTGTGCGCTGCGGGGTGATGAGTAACGGTCACACACCTTGTGGATGATCTGATTCATCGAATAGGGCCCACCCCCGAGTTTGCGGCACGTCTCGCAGTGGCAGAGGATGTGTTCCGGCTCTGTGATCTCGGCCGTCCAGGAGCAGTCACCGCAGTGGCAGCTCCCGTGGAACGTGCCGGCTCCGATGGTGGGCTTCTTCGCTGGGGGCCCGAAAAGGATGCCGTCTCGGATGTCTTTACATTTGGCCAGATGAGGTTGGCGTAATTGATTGGGGTCGGGTGCCGAGCTTACCTATAACGACCGAATCTTCTCTGCAGGCGATTGTTAGTCACCTCCTCCCCGAAGCATACTGAAGGGCCCAGAACATACATCAATGGCGCTGCATTCCTCGAAAACTCCAAATGCACCGGATCCTCGGTCAAATAGTAGTCGAGATCGGCCTGATTCTCAAACTCCAGGACGAATCCGTGCGTCATTCCTTTGCTGAACGGTTCCCAGCTGCGGTTCTTGCCTTGAGAGTTTTTGGGAAAATATAGTTAGCATTCCCCAGCATCCATGTCTAGATGTTTGCCAAAGGACAACGCACCTGCTTTCATGCTCTTCATGTATGGGCGCCCAGTCTCCGGCTTCTTGCACTTCTCCTTCAGCGCGAGAAAGACGGCGAAGTGCTCTTCGAACTCACTCCATGTTATGGAGGGTTTGTATTTGAACAGGACGATGTGGGTGATCACCTCCGTCATGGCGGTCGGTGGTGGTTGGCTGGTTGGTTGGTTGGGCAAGCTAAGGAAGAAGGCAGTCGAGGACCCGGGGCGACAAGGCCCTGTCCCCTGGGGAGCTTTTTTATACCACTAGGCTTCCATCAAGGCTGCTTTGTTCTGCTGTGTTGCATTGCGTGCTTTTGAAGTGTAGGATGTGCCAGTGTGGGATAGTAGGATGGCCGGAGGGCGCGGGGAGAATTACTTTGTTGGGTCGGGGGAGTTGCTTTCCCCGCGCGGGTGCCGAGTTGGGGAATTTGGGGTAAGAGCGGGTGCAGGGCGGATGGGCGGGATGCGGAGGAGATCCTTGCATTACTTTGTGCTCATAAATGGGATAGTATGTCTTGATCCCATGGCATTGTCGTCGGGCACGTTTGTTGTTGTTCGTGAGAAGCTTGAAATATTTGACAGCTAATCCTTCAGCAGGTTCAAATCCCTGGAGCGATCATGAAATGAGAGACCAACTTTGCACCACCTGGTCTTTTGGTGATATAGAAAACAAGGGGCTTCGGATTAGAATAAGATACTCGACATATCTTCATTTCACCATGACTGCGACAGAGAAGCCAATGGCACTGAAGATCGTGACAACGGACACACTGAACAACACGGAGACACGGCGGTGATCCAGGGGAGCAATATAGATACATGTGGCTGTTGAAATAGGCCGGCAGGAGACCAACGTTCATCATCATGACGGATAAGCAGTCTCTACTACACTTGACAGCTCTTAGGCTTCGTTTTAGAAGGACTCGAGCTAGCTGGAAGACTCGATCCGCCACAAGAGGCCACCATCGGATTCAATCTACTTGAAAGATATGAGAAATAACCTCCAAGCTCTGCAAAGTATTCCGCACGCACTGTGGCTACTCTTTGCAATGCTTGAATGCCCGGGGATTCGAGCATTTTACAACGGACGGAACTCTAGGTTTGTTCTTCGCCTTTTGTAAACGCCTGTCCCGAAGCTGCATTGCCATGATAGCGATGGTTTCAGTGTGTAGGGGGGACGACTATCGCATCACTCAGGCTTGCCTTTGTTTTGATATTCTTGGAGCAAGGCACGAGTTGTTCATTTCCACTGCTAGTGAGGGAGACCCCAACTTGCTTGCTTCTAGCTCTTGAGTTTAACTCCGCTGACTTGCCCCGTCCGTCACGTTTTACAATAGAAGATATGCATTGCAAGTAATCGTGCTTAATTGTCCTGTGCAAAAATGGGAAGTCACGGTTATAGAGGATAGAAAGCAAGAACGGAGATGGGAACAACCTGGCTTCACTTGTAGCCGTAGCCAGATGTGAAGTGACTTAGAGCCCACTATAAGTGCCCGGTCTTTGCAGGCAAGTCTTGTTGCCAGAGCTACTTTGTTTGACAGATTAGGGATCCCCTTTCAAACGGAGTGCGAATTACTGAGCAAACATCCATCTCTCCATTCTTCCACACTCATTAAAGCAGCAATATAAGGAGCAACACAGGTATTGTTTGCGTGTTAAGTATCATTCTATTTCTGATTTTGTTCTAGGAGCTGGAACTGTATGTTCAGGAAAGGACATCCTCTCTTCCATCAAACCATATATTAAATCACGTGTCATCTTACGGCATCACGTGCTCCAGCAGGAAGCAGTGCGTGACGTCACCAGCAGCAGCAATGGGTAATCTCAATACCAAAGTTACCGGTATGTTGCCCCAAACACAAGCCAACTAAAATCATCTCGACCGCCAAAACTTCAACCATTGGATGGTCGTGGCTTTTGGAAGGACTGTCATGGCCTCTTGAGATTGCACGCCTCTGATTTTCTGGAACGGGCTTCCATGAAATTCAGCTGTCATCATAATGGAGAGCCTTGATGGAATTTCCATCCCCCGCGATGCTGCGGAAGATTGCAGTGTTGGCCATCTCGACGGCGGCCGTTCTTCCAGAGCATCTCGAGATGGTAGCAGCTCTCCAGACTCTCCGACTGACTTCAATTTTCCTTATGCAGACACCTCCTTCACCTCTGGCTCGAGCAGCAAGCTGGCTGGCGACCAGCCCGAGTCAGCGTTGCGAAGCCTTCTCGACTTGGAAGACGATCGGAAGTCACCCCGCGCGGGCTCACCGTTCCCCTCGCTACCCTTCAGCGCCCCTTCAGCTCCCACAGCCCCTCTGAGCGAGGAGGGCGAGGAAGCTGAAGATGAAGAGCCGCAGGTCGCAACCTCCTTCGAGCGGGACTCGACGCCCACTTCGGCACAAAAGCAGCGATCTGCGTTCTTCGACACGGGCGGCGAAGAGGGAATCAACCGCATGCACAAGTTCTCGCTGTACGAGACAGCCACCCGCTTCTACATGGTCGGCATGGACTTGTCGGACACACGCTTCCGGATCATGAAGATCGATCGGACCTCGGAGTCGGGCGAGCTGATCATCTCCGAGGATGACATTGTGTACAGCAAGCGGGAGATGAGCCAGTTGTTGGATACCATCGACGACGGCAATAAGAGCTCGGGCGGACTGAAGCTTAAATGTAGCGCCTGGGCTATGCTTGGATTCATTCGCTTCACGGATGCATATTACATGCTTCTGGTGACAAAGAGAAGCCAGGTTGCCATGCTCGGCGGTCACTACGTCTATCAGATTGACGGAACTGAGTTGATCTCGTTGACGACGTCCAGCTCTTCCCGCCTGCGACCGGAGAAAAACCCCGAGGAGGCAAGGTACATTGCAATCCTGAACAACCTTGATTTGACCCGGTCGTTCTACTTCAGTTACTCTTACGACATTACCCATACTCTGCAGCGCAATATCTGCCGGGAGCGCAAAGCTCATCATGAAGGACAACGCAAGACATTCCAGCAGGATTACAACCCGATGTTTATCTGGAATCACCATCTTCTCACCCCAGCTCTTACCAAGCTACGCAACCCTTGGGAGTGGTGTCTTCCGATCATTCATGGTTATGTCGAGCAAGCCAAGCTGTCGATCTACGGACGGATTGTGTACATAACAATCATTGCTCGTCGTTCTCGGTTCTTTGCTGGCGCTCGTTTTCTGAAGAGAGGAGCAAATGACCTGGGCTATGTGGCCAATGATGTCGAGACCGAGCAGATTGTGTCTGATATGGCGGCTACGTCGTTCCATGCGCCTGGTCCGCTGCTCTACGCTAATCCACTCTATACATCATATGTCCAGCATCGTGGTAGTATCCCACTGTATTGGACTCAAGAGAACTCCGGTGTTTCTCCCAAGCCAGATATTGAGCTGAATCTGGTTGACCCTTTCTACTCTGCTGCCGCTTTGCATTTCGACAATCTCTTTGAAAGATATGGTGCCCCAGTCTACGCATTGAACTTGATTAAAGCTCGAGAAAGGACCCCACGCGAGTCGAAACTTCTCAAGGAATACACCAATGCGATTCAGTATCTCAATCAGTTCCTTCCTGAGGATAAGAAGATTATCTATCAACCTTGGGACATGAGTCGTGCTGCAAAAAGTCGCGATCAAGATGTGATAGGGACACTCGAAGATATTGCAGGGGACATTATTCCAAAGACTGGGTTCTTCCAGAATGGTGTCGATGCCGAATCCGGGCTCCAATTGCAGAACGGAATAGCGAGGACTAACTGTATCGACTGTCTCGATCGTACGAATGCCGCTCAGTTCGTGATCGGCAAACGCGCGCTTGGCCATCAGCTCCACGCTTTGGGAATCATCGATGGAACAACAGTGGAATACGATTCGGACGCTGTCAATCTGTTTACTGATATGTGGCACGATCACGGTGACACTATCGCCATTCAATACGGAGGCTCTCACCTGGTCAACACCATGGCAACCTACCGCAAGATTAATCAGTGGAGCAGTCACTCGCGAGACATGGTCGAGAGTTTCAAGCGATACTACAACAATTCCTTTCTTGATGCTCAACGCCAGGAAGCATACAATCTCTTCCTTGGCAATTACATCTTCTCCCAGGGACAGCCAATGTTGTGGGACCTGTCTACCGATTACTACTTGCATCATGCCAATCCAAGGTCGTGGTCAAACAAGAAGCGTCCTCACTATATCAACTGGTACAATCCGGACAACTTGAAGAAATTCGAATTGCCGCCCCCTCCTAAGCCGCTCAAGGAACCGTTGTCACACTATGACGACTATTGGCTCGAGTACTATCGCCCGCTAGCAGTCTCATCATTCTCCAAGGTGTTCTCCTACAAGATGAACTCCACCCTCCGGTACCTGCCTTTCCGCCCCGGATCCGGTGCTCCCTACGACATAAGCCCGTTCGTGCCCAGAATTCCGCATGAACCGGTGAACCGCGAGCGTCAGACCCACCGAACTGTCAAGATCCAGGAACCGGATAAAACAGTAATCGGCCGTTCCAACTCCACAACCTCGCAATCCAACCGCCGTTGGCTGAACCAACCCCTTTCCGCGGACAAACAGCTTCCGGCCGCAGGAATCATGAAACAACCCACATACACGTCTTTCGGAACGCCTTCACAGACCACCGCTTCCCTCCAATCCTCCCTGGAACCCGGTGCCGCGCCCAGCAAAGCGCAAATTGCTCAATGGACCTTGGGACAGCTCGTGCACGACTCCCTCAACCCCACGGTCACCGCCGCGGAAGCCGAAGAGTACGAACGCTACATCAACCATCCCCTGAAAGTGCCCCTCGTAGTTACCTCGGAGAACGAACTCACCGCAACCTCGATCCGCGAAAACGAAGCCAACCTCGACTACATCGAGTATGCCAACAAATGCAACGTCGAGGAAGCTACCCTCGAGGCCAACGCACTCGAAAACCTGGCGGATTATGTCGAATACCTCAACGTTCCCGAGACCGGGCTGACCGTCGTCGCGGAGGACTACGACAAAAAGCGATACAAACGCTACCGGCAGTGGTTGCGGGGCAAGAGTCTTTTCAAGCAGCGCGTCGATGCCTGAATTGGTGTTCATCACTCCTTAGGGGAGGGGATAGAAGCATGTTTCATGGAAAAAGCATGTTTAGAGAGAACTTTTGTCTTCTGATTGATTTTCGTCCCGCTTTGTTCAGATTTTCCACGCATTGTGTTGTTCACGAAATGCCCCTTGTCATGACATGATACCCCCTTTGCCGCGTGTGCGTGCCCACTTCCTGATGTTTTCTGCTGCCATCTTATCCTGTGATTTTTCCCGTT